CAAGCAAATTGACCAAAAAATCTCCACGGCCCCCATTTTTTTTTCAGTGTAATAGATCAACTTTGATTTTCTTGAGCTTCAAAAATATGTTTTGTATCTTCCTTTTGTGTTTTTCTTATCAAAAACGATAAAATGTTTGTGCAAAACACAAGTAATCAAATGGAGAAGGCTCTACCTAAACACAAGGGCAGTCTATTGTCATTTGATAGGCTGCGTTTTACGGTTCAATATAACGTGATTGTAAAACATTAACCTCTTACAAAATTTATATTATATATTTTACACTTGACAATGAATCATACATAACTATATAACAAGAGATTTTCTCCGTTCTAAATCTCTTCGAACACGTGTCAAGGTTCAAATCTGCGACAAATTAAGGCGGAAAGGCAACAAAAGAAGTGATGAGTCAAATCAAACGGATACCAAGTGCAAAGCGATGGAAAGTACAAAGAAAGCGCACCATTGAAGACAGGACTAGCACACGCTCCTGGCATTTTCTACTGCTATTTCCCCTTCTATTTAACAACATAATGTCTTAGAACTCGGAGAAAAAAAAGAAGGCATCCATCAAGGGAAATATCCAGACAGAATTTAATATTGGAGAAGTAATAGCACTGCCATTTTCTGCTTTGGTAGAAAGGGGCTAGATGCTTGGTTGAGGAGCTCTTATGACATATTCCATAGAAAGATGGATGATTCTCCAAGTACCAAGCAGATGCAAGAAGCCACAACAACATGATTTCACAAACTGAACTCAATTTACTTGCATAAGCAAACTTAAGATGCTCCAAGTTGAGTCAATATTAAAATACAACTAGTAAAACTCTGAGTTATTGGATTGAATTCAACACCCCAAAGAAAGGAAATAAGAGACTATCTAGAAAGCTTATTTCTAAAAGGCCTAATCTCCAACATGCCTAATACCACAAGCTCCACGGTAACAGATGAATTAACTTAATAAAGAAAGCATAGAAGTCTAGCAAGTCCTTGATTTAGAACGCACTAACCCAATGTCGAGGATGCCTCCAAGATTCATCTTTCCTTCAACGCCTTTTGCTATGCTTCCTACTCTTCCTCCGGCTATGCCTATCATCAGAATCAGAATCTGAAGCTAAGTCCGAATCAGAGGACTCGGAAGAGGAGCTGTACCTTGCCCTTCTGCTCCTTCCCTTCTTCTGCTTCTTCTTCTTCCTCCTCTGCCTCCTCTCCTCCTCAGAATCAGATGAACTGTAATCTGTACTACTCTCTGAAGAAGAATCTGATTCTGTCACAGATGATGAACCACTATCAGTCTCGAAAACTGAAGCCTCACTATCACTACCAGAATCAGAATCTGAGCGATGCTTTCTTTTACTCTTCTTGGATTGCCTCTCATTGTTCTCATCCTTTACATCGGGGTTATCCAGATCATAAGAGATTGACAGTTTCATCCTCAATTTGGGGTTCTTTAGCTGCTGGGTCCTTGAGGGTCGTGACATGTACACCCGTTCATTCTTGCATTCATATGTCCAGTGCCCTGATTGGAAACATTTCTGGCACTGTGAAGCTGTGCCACCAACAGTAGACATTGAAGATTTGAGGTCTTTTCTTTCACCTAATCTCACCGCCTTTTCAGTACTCATCAAATACATTTGCCTCTTTGCCTCCCTTTTCTCCTGCCATCTGCTAGGCCCTTCTTCCTTCTGCCCGTAAGCATTGACATTTCGAGCTGCAGCCGCAGCTGCCCGTTCAGCCTGAGCACGACTGAGACCTTTTGCAGCAGTCAATGCCGCAGCCTTAATCCTTTCAGCTGCAGCTTGACCTTTCTCTTCCTTCTTGCTTGACATGTTTTAAACTCCTGCTGACAAAGCAGATTACGTAGATCTGAACTTCAAAGGTTCAAATACCAGGATCTAGGACAAATTCAATTCAACCCAAATCCCAGAGGCCCTGCATTCAAAGATACACTTTAGATATTCATTTACAATTGAATATGCTGAGTGATTTAATAGCTTAATCCTAGCTGAAGCAGATAACCCAGTCAACGTTGGTAGCATTCACTCTTCTTTTCTTTTACAAATGAAAAAAGTGAACTTAACATGGAGGGAAAAAAAGAGAAAAAAAAAAAAAATCGCTCAACAAATGAATTTGACAAAAAAAAAAAAAATCAAACAAGAAAAATTAAAATTACTAAGAAGAACCAAATACTTGATTATAATCACAGCTAGTCCATAGTATTTTAACAGTATCCATCACAATTTTTTTAAGAACTAAACCCACACTCCAGTTAAAATTTTGGGATTAAATTTTGGCCAAATCCCAAATACTAAATAGCAAGCCAAAAAAAAAAAAAAAAAAAAAGGATCTGAGAGTGCCAAAGTAGGCCAAATGCATGTCACATACAATAACAGTTCTACAATGTAACAAAAAAGACTATCCAAATATGGTTGGCAAATTCCCACAATTCAATACCATTTTTCTCTGTTCCGTACATGTTTCTGTGATGCAAATTTCAACAGCCATATTTCGACCCCAATCGTTTTTTGGAATAACTGCCTGGACTACAGCCTTTAATTCAAAACAAAAACTATGATTGATATGGTGGCCAGAGGGACCAATCAAGGCCAAGAACAACACAATTATACAAACCCCTTTATCATTTATCTCCCAAAATTCTTAAAGTAACCAGAAACAAGACGAAGAAATCCATCCTTTCAATTCTCAAAGATGAAACAACACAACAAAAATAAAAAATAAAAAATAAAAAATAAACTAGCTATAACACGAAAGAAGCCGCAGGTAGGATTCAACACAAATTTGAAGCATCTTTCAATTCTTAAACCCTAAAAAGCGACGATTTTTGAGTCGAAATCGAAGATCAGAACTAGGAAGGGGAAAAAACCCTAAATGCTACGAATCAAAGAAAGAATGAGAATCAAGATCTTACCTTGAAGATCGGGAATTGTGCAGCTCTTGGAGCCTGATACGCTTCGAGGATAAAGATAAACTCTAAAGACACGAGATTTATGACTAACAAAAGACCATTATATATGCAAAAATGGATCTGCTCCACAAGGTTATTTTAAGAGAGAGGGTAACAGGTTATGGGAATATGATAGTTATACTGTCACCTGTAGTGTAAACTTAGGACAATATATATATATATATAT